CTGCACAACTTACGATGCCGATGGGATCGACATCTACTTCCTCAACCATTGGAAACCGAATTCAACTCATGGTGGATACACCAATATCACAACCACGGCAGCGGTTCAAAATTTGTTCAAGACCGTGAGACCTCTCGGTAGCACCCCGACCGACACCCGACTCAGCCATCTCCTCAGACCGTATCTCGCCGAAGTAGCCGACTCGATCGAGCGCCAGTCTCGCGGCCACGAAGCAACCGTCAAGCCAGGTAACATCATCGTCATCACCGACGGCGTGCCCAGCGACGACGTCGAAAGTGTGATTGTGAACGTAGCCAGGAAGCTCGATTCATGCGGTGCCGTACCCTGGCAAGTTGGCATTCAATTCTTTCAGGTCGGACGTGAGCCTGAGGCTGCCGAGGATCTGAAGGAAATGGACGATGCCTTGTCTGGAACCTACAATATTCGAGATATGGTTGATACGGTGCCCTGGACCGGCGACAAAGGCCAAGAACTCACCGCACAGGTTCTCCTCAAGGTCTGTCTCGGCAGCGTGGTTCGACGACACGATCGGAGCAGAGTTTGACTTGCTCGACCACGAACACGCGGGTAACTGAATTTCGGGTAAATTTACCTAGATCGATGTCCTAAAAGGGAAGGCTCTCCTGTTGATTACCATAACGCCTTCCTTATCCAGACGTCCACGAAGAATGCCCTCTCTCTCCCCAACGTCGGAGATCAGGGTGTAGAGCACAATGTTTGACCTAATGTGTCTCGCGAGGGACCCGTAGCGGGCTAAATAGTGCCATGGTCCAATAGAACATCCTGAAGCGAGGTGCGGGAGAAAACGTCCATCATTTGTCGAACGAATGTGTCGAGCCCCCTTCTGTGCCTTGAGATAGTAACTTAATGGTCATTGTACACCGTAAGGTGAGATTGTGGCTATTCGTGTTATCCTTTCGTTCCTTAAATGGAAGGCAGTTCTGCCCATGCCCATCGAACCTCCTGAATCTAGCCCCGCCCCGTCAGGCTTCAACGAACGGACCCTCCGTCCTGGTGCCACCCCCACACGGGATATTTCCACGATCTCGTCGTGTAAGAGAATGGAACCCAGCACGGAGAGCTCCTGAGCGAACCTTCCACAGAAGCGTAAAGATTGTGTGATCCATGGGGCGTATATTGGTCTACGGGAAGTTCGACGGCCCTGCAACAACAGGGGGCTTGGAACTGAACGCCCCCTTTATCAGAAACCCAAGACTCGTCTTCAGTCTTCTTCAACGGCTGCGCCAGCTCGGCCATCCGTCTTTACCATCACGCAGGCATCTTCAAGGCTAGGGCCACTACGACATCAGGAATTCGAAATCCAGGTCTGCGCACGGAAGAAGCGTAGCTTACACGCCGGGGCGAGCGACGCCTGCCTCTGCCGTTGTCCCGTTTCATTCTCTGGGCTGCGTGGTCTACTGTGGCTTCGCAACCGGGTTCACGGATCGATGACGGCGTGGCTCCCCCATCCTCAACGGCCCGGCCGGGACGAGGCTGGGATATTTAAGGGGCCGCCATCTGCTCATCTTCCAAGGTCTTCGCCTGCGATGAATACAAATCTTGCACCCAACCAGCTCGAAAGCCCGCCCAATTGCGACTGGAAAGGAAATGACACGAGCCGAGAAACCAGGACACCTGGGACAGGAAAGTCTGGCCCCACTCGACATGGTGAAGACGCAGCTGTTCACCACGACCACAACTGACCGGCCAAGCCACAAGAG